CGGCTACGACTTACCGTCCTAACCTAGGCTGATCATCTCACACAGCGCCGCGAGCTTGACTGCATCTAGCGCCTTCGTCAAAAGATCCGCTAGTTGTTGCTCCGAGCGGACGTACTGCGACACGATGATCCCGCGTCGAGCGAAGTCGCACACGAACTTCGTGCGAACATCGATGTGCTTGGCCTTTAGAGATGACGCCTCGCCTGCCAGCTGCTTCAGTGCCGCCTGATTGTCGACGTGGAGTACCATCGGTAGCGCCGGCGGCTTACCGATCTCGGTTAGCATCTCCCTGATACCAAGAAGCTCGCGCGCCTGCTCCGATGCAGCGACGAACTCCGCTTCCATCGTCGAGAGCGAGACGCCGCCTTGCTTCTTCGACGTCCAGCTGACCGGCATGCCGTTCAGGCGGATGATGCCGCCAGTCAAGGACTTTCTGTCACTCTTTTCCGCCGCAAAATCGGCGTCCGAGTACGCCTCGAGCTGGATCTTGCCGTCGAGGTGCTTCGCTGGTTCCATCCGAAGCTTGTAGTCCCGCGTCCCCTTCAGGTACCGCGCGATGCGTTTGGCAAGCTTCATATCGTGGAGTCGCGGCTGATGAGTCTGACGCGTCGCCTTGTGCACGGCGAACGCAATGTCCGGCCGTGTGCAACGCGCGATCCACAGAAGACTGCCGACGAGGGACTGGAACGTCTTGATTGTTGGCGCCTTCTGCACCTTAGTCTCGGTGAGCAGCGCGCTGTCATCTGGTAGCACGTCGTAGCAGTCAGCCCCAATTGGTGCTTTCGTCGGGTTTGCATCCTCGAGCCCATGCTCACGCAGGAGCTCGCCGATCGCCTCGGCCTGGTCAAGCACGTAGCCGCCACTGTTATCAATCGTGACACGCATGCCGAGGAACTTGCTAACGGTGCCGAGGTCCTTGATCGACAAGCTGCCGAGCTTGACGAAGAATCGGTCGACGGCTGCAGCGTCCGTGCCGGTAGCAAGTAGATCGTCGACGTAGACGCCCACGATGACCAACTGTCCACCCTCGACTTGGTAGTATAGACACATGTCGGAAATACATTGCCGGAAGCCGGCTTCGAGCAGTCGAGCGTGCAGGAGCTGGCTCCAGAGTCGGCCAGCCTGCTTGAGGCCGTACAGGCTCTTTCGTAGCTGCAGCACTACTTCCTTCTTTGTCGCTGCGCCTACCATCTTGAGCGCGTCTTGATCGATTGTCATTGCCTGCGGCACCTGGAGTAGTATTTCCAAGTGCGCTTCCTTGTCAGCCTTGACATACGCGTTGGGGATGTCGCCATGCTTTGCTGGGACACCCCATATCGCCGCAAGCGCCAAGATCACTTTCACGGTCGACATGTCCATGACAGCCGCAAATGTAAGCTGGTAGTCGACCCCAAAAACTTGCTCGTTGCCGCAGGCGACCAGTCGAGCCTTCAAGCGCTCTATCTCACCGTGCGCGTCGGTCTTGGTCTTGAAAACCCACTTCGTGTGCAGAGTGTTGCTGCCCGGAGGTCGCTTGATCAAGCGCCACACGCCATTGTCTTCTAGGGCTTGGAGCTCTTCGCGCATGGCCTTTTCCCAGCCTTCACGCTTAGTGCTGCGTAGCGCTTCACCGTAGTTCTTGGGATCGCACTCATACACATGAGCCACCACGCTGTCGTCGCCAGCTGGCTCCTCCTGATGGGCGGCCGCATGTGCGCGTTTGGTAGCGCCGCGCGTCCGGTGAGCCGCGCGTGTCCACGACTTCGATTTCTTCTTGCCGCTGCGTATCGTCGGCGATGCGGCATCGTCAGCAGCCGGCAACTCTTTGCTTGTTGTTGCTGTTGCCGCTGGCTCCACGGCTTGATCTTCATACTCGAGCGCGCGCTGCAGCTGACCATTCTGCTCTGCGCTGAGCGTCTCGACGTTGCGCACATGCTGCGTGATCGTGACCTTGTTCTCCTTTTGGAGGAAGACGCGAAAGCCCTTAGTCTCGTCGCTCCGCCCAATGATCACGCCGACTTGTGCGCGCTGCGCGAGTGAGTTCTTGCCTGGGTCACGGTAGACCGAGCAGATAGAGCCAAAGGCGACGATGTCGCGCAGATCCGGCACTTGCTTCGTCAGTACCTCGATCGGCGACGCGCGCTTCGCATTCGCGCTCGTTGGGCTGCGGTTGAGGATGTACGCCGCGTACTCAACCGCATCGCCCCAAAACGTCAATGGCAGTCGGCTGGCAAAGATCATGCTGCGCGCCATGTTCAGGATCGTCCTGTGCATGCGCTCGGCCTTGCCGTTTGACGCCTGATTCCTCGCCTCGCTGATCTGCCGCGCGACGCCCGTTCGCTTGCAGAAGAGGTCTACATTCGCGTATTCGCCGCCGCCATCAGTGCGTAGCACGTGGATCCGGCAGTCGAACTGGCGCTCAAAGAACGCGAGGAAGTGCTCAAACTTCTTGGCCGCCTTGTCCTTTGTAGGCGCCAGGAAGACGCGACAGTAGTTCGACTTATGATCGACAAAGTTGACAAGGTAACGATTGTGCAATCGATCCTTCGGGGTCATCGGACCCTTGAGGTCTGAGCAGATCACCCCGCCAACTCTGTCGATCGGCGAGTTTGATCCAGTGTCCTTCTTCGACTGCACGTTCCTTGTTTGCTTGCCCTGTGCGCAAGAGATGCACGTCGGGCGCTTGCGAACCGTTAGCACGATGCCGGACGCGGGGTCTCTCGCCATGCGCTCGACGGTGTCGTACGCGAGATGCCCAAGCCTTTGGTGGAAGTGCAGCAGCGAGCCGCTTTGCGTGTCCGACTCGGGTTCTTCCGGAGCTGCCTGGCTCGTCAGGATCGCCATGAGCGCGTCTCTAGGCGCTCGTCGCTCGCGAGCCGCTGCAACTGTCTGGACGTAGAGCACATTGTGGTCCATCGCCACATCGAACGCGACTTGGCCATTGCTGCGTCGTGCCAACACGCGCGACTCGCCGTCGTAGACGAGCCCAAAACCCTTGATCTCGAGCTTACCGTAGGACATGATGTTGCGCGATAACTCGGGCGCCAGATACACGTCCGTCAGCGTCACATCTTGCTGCTGTCCTCTCGCGAGCACAGTCAGCACGACGCTTCCGACTTGCGTTAACTTGATGGTCTCCCCATCTGCCAAGTGGCACTCTTGATCGCAGTCCCTCGCGTCGCGCAGCAGGGTTGCGTCGTTCACAAGGTGGCGGCTGGAACCGCTATCGAGTATCCAGTCGTCATCTTCGTCATCGCTGTCGTCACCAATCGCCATCGCCAGGCTTTGACCGGTGGCGCGCGAGCCGTTGCGACCTCTTCCTTCACCAACAGCTAGCGTGATGCTGCCGCCGTCTTTTGGGCCTCTGCCCCTCTTCTTGTCGTCATTCTTCTTGCTGCGACAGTCCTTCTTTAGATGGCCGACCTTCCCACACCCGTGGCAAGTGCGTGTCTCCTTGCGCGACACGGACTCGTCCACGTGCGCGACGACCTCCTTCCCGAAGGATCTTCCTGATCTAGCTTCCATCTCGATTGCTTGCGCGAAGTGCGCGAGCTCTTCCGCGTGCACGAGGTAGTCGGTGCGGTGCGTCTGGTACTTCGCCATGAGTATTGTAGACAGCTCAGACGAGGCGTAGCGCACGATGTTGTCCAGAACCTGCTGCTCAGCGCCGCCCGCAGCGTCGCTGACAGCGACCAGATACAAGTAGTGTTCTGGCCAGGATCTCTTGCTTTCTTTCTTCGCCGTGAAGAGTTTCATCGCTTGAGCGGCGGTTATCGTCGTCTTGAACGTGTCCAGCATGCGCTGCATCACGTACTGCAATGTAGGCAGCACGGCCCACCACGTGTCGACCTGCTTGCTGAAATACCGCTCGGCAGTGCCAGTGAGGTACTGCCCGAGCACGTCAGTCTTCACATTCTCGCTCCACAGGAAACCGCAAGACTCCTGTGCCATGTCGACCTGGCGCCAAAACGTCTTGCCCCAGTCGAAGAAGCCGGACCCGAGTCCAACGTACACCTCAGTGCCATCGAACTTGCGGATCGCCAGCTTGCGCTGCCTGGCATCCGGAGTGCGATACTGCATCGGCATTACTTGTTGCTGCTGCTGCTGTACTGGCTGCCCTGGAGCTGCCGGCATCGTCTGAGGCACTGGTGCCGGCTGGTATGGTGGCAATGGGGCAGGCGGCTGAGGCAACGGATCAGCACGCTGCTGCAGCTGCTCTCTCGCTCGCATCCGTAGGTCTTCGAGCCGCGCTGGTGCACGCCGCAATTGCTGCTGAGACTGCCGATCGTGCAAGTCCTCAAGCTCCATTGCGCCGCCGTGGAGTCGCCCTGCGAAGTCCGCCCCGAGCTCTGATCGGAACAGCTCGCTCTCGTGAGCGCCACGCATGCGCTCGTCTTCGTCCATGCGTGCTTGGGATGCTTCTATCTTCTGCATTCGCAAGTCCATGCCCGTGAGCATCTTGAGGACCCTCTCCAGTGCGTCAGGCTCCGGGCTCCTTGCGTGAGCGGTAGGAGAGACGACCGTAGCAGGCGCGGCCGCGGCCCTTTCGTGACCGGTTGCCGGCGGCGCCTGTGCCGCGTTGGTGTCGTCGTTTGCTTCCCGTCTTGGGCTCATAACCTGTTCGCTTGCCATGATGCAAGCTGTAGAGAGGAAGTCGGCGGCACTGTGATAAAAGGATTCTGACATTGTTATTAGTGTTATCTTTTTCGTGCTAGCATGATGGACTAGTTGTTCTTGTTCTCCATCACTCTTGTCCAATCAATCACCCATCCACGCACCTGTCCAATCAATCGCTCAACTGATCCTCGAACGCCTTCCTAAGTCGTCAGCCGTTTCCTCAACTGTAACTTCAACCGTGCCTTTTTCTAACAATCCTGCTAATACATTCAAAAGATGAGCTTATAAATTCTAGCGCCATCATGGAAAATAGGCAAGTCACGGATATATATGTATCTAAATAGTAAACACTAGTTTAGAAGGATTAAATAGTTGTCAGTAGTATAAATTATTCTACGTGTTTTCTATTCTACGTAATCGAAGTACAGCTTTTTGAGCTCGGAATCCGATCGAATACGAGTTTCCTGACCGCTTAACGATACACAAGACATTTGTCCGTCTGGAAAATAACGGATCTTTTTCTGGTTCAGCAGTGTCACCTCACGCAGACCACTTGACTGCTCCAATATGGTCGTTCCGTCTGGAAACACGGAAAATTCATCGCCATTCGGGCGAATTGTCTTCTTGATGCCGTCAGGAAACTCAATTTCAATTGTTCCGTCGGGCAAACTCGTCTCGATCTGCTGATTCGGAAATTCGTACACCTTTCGATTATCCGGGTAAGTCGTCAGCTTTGTCTGAGCTTCATAGTAGTAATATACTGTAATCCCTGTGTCCGGGAAGAACTGCATCAACAACATCGACATCAATATCCTGGTTAGTTACAACACCAATCACCTGCAATTCAACAAAAAGACCACCTTACCTCTTTATGATCACCGTTTGTAAATTTAATGACGGTGTGGCCGTTACCGTCAACATCCTTCTCGTTGCCGTCCGGAAAAATTATCTTTCTGCTTCCATCTATGTACAATATTTCCTTCTTCCCACCTGTATGCTCAATCTCTCGAGTCACCACTTTGCTCTCCGACAGAGATGAAGTTGACGCTGAGATTGTGCCATCCTCTTTGCAAGTGTTAGATTTCCGGTAACCAATATTGGCCGCAGCATCCTCAACTGCAGGGAGTGCCCGTTCGTACGTGGCGGCGGCATTACTTGCACGCACGTATTCAGTGTCGCTACCAATGTCCATGTCCTTTACACTTGGTCTATCTAATTCATTTTTACCCGTTAAGGTCCCGGACTCGCTCAAGGGGTGAAGGCTATCTCGGCCATAATTATACCGCTCCGGGTTGTAGCTGTCCGCTGCATTTGACAGCACGTGATCTTGGAAGGCGGATCTTGCCGTGGCGTCATTTTTAGCATGAGTATCAGGTAACCTCTTGCGAGGATAATTCCATTTCTGAAGGAGTTCGTCTGCCGTTTCTTTAATCGCGAAAACGGCATCCAGAATGCGCAGTTCATTCTTCTCGCTGAGTACAGACGGAACTATGGAAGTCACTCCAGATTGTGATGCCAGTCCTAAAGCCTCTTGTGTCTTCTTCAGAAGCCGCGCATATTGTTCCCACTGCTCTAAGCGCTCCTTCTCCAGAAACTTAATTTTATCAGCTAGGTCACGGTTTTTCTCCTCTAGCTCCTATATAGACATGCAACAAAGCCACGATGAAGTTCTTAGCACGTAGACCTTTCGAACTCCTTGATCAACTGCTTACCAAAACACGCTGACACACGTTGTCATTTTCAGCCTTCCATTTACTCGCCCTCGCTTTCTCATCAATCTGCATCTTCATGATCTGCGCCGTGAGCATTTCGGTTTCCCCGCCATCTTTTCGATCCTGGTGGGATATAGAAGCATTCATACGCAGCTTCCATTGCCGTTCCTGAAGTTTTGCCTCTTTCTTCATTTTAGTGCGCTCTCGTTCCCATTCCTTTTCGATTTGAAGCCGTTGCTCTTGCTGAAACCGCACAAACTCGTCCCGCTCGAGAGCAAGCTTCTTTACCTCTTGGTCGTAGTAGTCTTTCCGCTTTTGGAACTGCAGCGTCTCTGATTTGTAGAACATGACCTCTGCATCTAGCTCGTACAGCTTTTCCTCTATTACAGCAGGAAGCATCATTCCAGCATTTGCTGGCTGCGCTAATTGATCTCGAGAAGGCGTCAGTGTATCATTGCTAAACTTTGTACCTGGAACACGTGAGGATGCTGCAATTTTTACTTTTACCTGTTTCGTTTGTTTGTCATCAGCTTTTGCTTTGCTCGTTGATGTTCTTGTGACGGGTGGCTGTTGTTGAATCCGCACCTTCTGCGTACAATTCGATGAAGACCTGTCTTGAACAGGTGGCGGCGGCGGTACCGACAGATCCCTGCAAGCTGTGTTGATGCTGGTGCTATCATCACTAACTGAATATATATCATCTTCATAATAGAGGCTGCCGCTATTGCTGTTTTCATCTTGCTCATATTTTCCAAACACGTGCCGCACCAAAAATGAAACAGAAGTATTGCCTTCTGATTTCAACTCTGGAGTGCCCGGCTTATTGTTTTCAAGTGCGTCAGCTCCGTCGCCATTGCACTCTGCAAAATACAGTTCACGTTTGCTTGTTTGCTGTCTAGCATCCTCACCAGTTAAACAATCATTCTTGTCAGGAGAAACGTTTAAGCCAGCCGCAGCAATGTTTGAAGATTGTGTATGCGCTACACTTTGCCGTGACTGCAATGATAATCCGTCATTCCATGCTACAGAATCATCGAAAAAGCTTGAACTCAGATTCGAACGTGAGTCGCCGCAGCAATTCCCGTAGTCGAAATGTTCTCGAAGTTGGCAGGTAGAACCGTCTTGTTCAGACACTTCATCATCTTTTGATAGAGCTGAGTAGTCGTCAAACACCAGTGCCGAGTCAATTTCGTCATCCCGACTGCCATCAAAAGACAAATTTCGTCTACCGGTCTGCCGCCTCAATTCTTCTTGTTCATTAAGGTCCGACACGAATGACGAATATGGCAATCCGCAGTAGTTAGCACCCGACTGGTTGTCGCGATAAATTTGTTCTCGCTGTTCAATTGGCTTATTCTGCTGTTGTTGATGTTTTTCCATCAAAAACGCCTGTTTTTCTACCGCCAGATCGCGCTCAATCGCCTCAAACACTGCCATATCATTGGCTTCACGCTCTTGGTTTGCTTCATATGACTGTCTCACGTTCTGTATGCCCATAATGTCTGTGCTGGTCGTAGAACGGAGTGAAGCGTTTTTCCAAACTGAAAAATTATCATTCGACACCATATGCTGCTGCACCTCGTCTTTAAAACTGTAGTGTGTCCGTTGATTCGGCGACATCAATGGTGATAGAGTCTGCAGATTGTTTCTTACAGTCTGCCCTTGTTCCGGTGACCAAGAAAGATGTTCAGACAATGGAGCTGACAGATATCTTTCATCTCTGGGTCTTCTTTGCATCATTGATCTTGTCTTTATCTTATTTTCACTATTGGACGTGAGTTTGTGCTTGACTAGCTTTTTCTTAGCGTCTCGTTGTTGCATCCACCACCCACGTGCTCCTTTCTTCAGATACGACTTTTTACTCGTCTTTTTATCACTAATTCCAACCCCTTTTGACCCATTTTCATGGGATTTACGCAATTCTCGAGCCAACAACTCTTCAAATGGCACTGCAAAGAGATAAAGGTTCGTTTAAAGCAGCTAATGAGGGTTTAAAGATGCAAAAAAAGCACGTACTATTAGCACCAGAGACAGGAATCGTCTCACGAAACGTGATACTGTGGCGTCGATTGACCATGTCGTTCTCCTTGCGCCAAGCGCGCAGCTCCTGCTGACCTGATGCCATATGTTGCCAATTTATACGTTCAAATTACATCATCATTGTGATTGGACAAAATTGGATTTGAGCCAAACGCCATCTTTTTTACGCTTGTAAAAAGGTATTTACGACATTGGTAATGGGTGGATGACAATTGGCGCTTAGCCGGCGCGATGTCATGTAGCTCAGTTGAGAACATGAAGGTTTGAGAACAGAGGTTTAGAATCAATTGTTATAATGATAGAGGTAGTGTGTGGGTGTTGCCTTCAGACTGGGGAAAATGATGATTCCATTATCTCGATAGTTTCACGACGGTCATCTGAGTAGGCCACAGGCTTGCAGTGGTGAGAATCGAGAAACAAAAAAGCTCTGATACTTCCAGCATCCATTAAATTTTGTATTTACATGTGGGGGCGATTCAATTTACGGCTCGGAAATGACGAAAAACGTTTAATCTGTCAATCCACTGAGTGACACGGTGAAGAACAACTAAAACTCTGCTTTTTAACTGCAAACGCGATCCGCAAGCCAACTATTATATGTATGTAATATAGCTTCACTATAGTAGGTGATACTAATGTATATATGATTATCTATTTACTAGAAGATTGTGTTGCTGCTTGTGGTATTTACAATGTAGTTTGTCCTGCTTCATTATATCTATAAACTTTGCCTCTATTTTTTAAGTTTGCAGACTGATGGCATAGAAAGAAACATGAAACTGCGCGGCAATGAAAGCTGAATCAATTTAAGCTATCACAAGTAGTTGAAGTGCGAGTTACTCGTTAATAACGTAGCAGCAAATGCCGTCGTTCCCAATGAACAACGTCGCTTTGCTCTAGGTCATAGAGACATGCTTTGTCGGACATAACCCCGTAATAAAGGTAAAGCCCTTGTAAGACCAGCCTAGTTTCTAAATGAAGTTTCTGAACGACTGGCAGGAAGTCGATCGAAACGTTTCTATCGAAACGCCCTCCAATTTTAGGCCATAGACGTGACCTCCCTTCCTACTTTACTGCATTTTAGTAAGTTACCCGATTGTGACCCTTATCCTCCCTTTGATATCCTGCCGACATGTACGCTGCACAACTCCGTTCGAAAGACGAGATTCTGGCTATTCGCGCCGCCGAGCGCCAATATGCCAAGCGTGTGCTGCTCGCGCAGGAGACGCTAAAAATCGTTCGTGAAGAGCTAGCCACGTGCTACCGCGAGAACGGGGTAAACCACAAGACGGCCTGCAAAGGCGTCCGTGAAGAGTACGCCAAGCTCATTCAGGACCCCACGCACGGTGCTGGCTATCCGGTAACTATGGAGAATATGACGACGCTAAGCTACCAGCAATGCATGCAATGTTGGGCGGAATGTACTTACCATTTGCTGGTGTTGATTCTGTTTGTTTGAATAGACACCACCGGAGTTTTAGATGCTGTTTGATACGCAGAGAACAAGAATAACTGATATCGGATCGAGGTCTTGACCTAAGAAGGAGAATATGACAAAAAAACATGAAGATATATGCGTACGCAACGAGCGTCTCATTGTGTGGTCGATGGCAATACTTTTTTTGTGGTGGCTGGTTGATCATGTCTTGTCCCCTTTAGGTGCACCTAGGTGTCACGGTGTTATCGGTGTTATCTTCAATAATTGCGTAAGCAGCTGCGACGTTTAGCGCGAAGGGCTTCGATCTGCTGGAGTGCCAAATGAAGGCTGGTATCGTGCATTGGTGATTGATCGCTGGATCGCGCTGGTGATCTGGTGACTGAGGAAAAATCGTAGCGGCTTGAGTTTCTTTCAGCTACTTCGAAGTCGTACAGGTTTGGTCTTCTCTTTTTGGTAGCCCTTTCAGCGCTTGAAAAAGCTTTAACGGGCGTGGTGTCTTGAGGGCAATTGCAAGATGATGCGACTACAGCTGATAACAGTACCTCGTGTTTGGTGCCGATTACTTCAAGAACCTGTGCGACTTGACCACAACATGATTCCACACTGCCTTCAACTGAATCAACCCTGGCTTGGAGGCTTGTAAGAGCTGCCTTAACAGCCTCTGCCTCGGTGAAGACTGCTTTACGAGCTTCTTCACAAACCGCTTTGTTGCCACGGCTCTGTAGTTATAGACAGAACGTGGTAAGTAGCATTCACAGGAGTTTATTCGATATAGAGCTACGTTATAAGAACCTGCTCACGGAGCTCCGAGACTGTGGTTGTCACGTTATTGATGCCTTCTGCAAGCTCCCCGATGACTGCCCCTTGCTTTTGCTGATCTTGACCGCAAGTGACAAGCTTCGTGTTGATTTCCTCCATCGACTCCTTTATTGGAATGGTCAACTGCATCACTAGCTGTTCCTGTTGTTGCTTATGTTTCTTCGTTTGCTCGACCAGTGTCTTGGTCAGATTCTGTTCAAATTCTTGAAGTTTGTCACTCCCGTTGCAGCGAATAGGAGACAGAGACATTGAAGTTGGAGCTTGCTGAGCCTGGCATTGCTGAAGTCGATGCAGCTATAGTAACATAATTCAGTTTCGACTTCTTGAGTATTCTCTACATCTCACACAGTCGCTTAGCACGTCGTCACCTGATCATCTTGACTCGATCCCAGTAAATTTTGAGACTGCGTCTGACAATACCCCGATGACTGTGACATCGACGTCATGGCACTCAGCTGCACGCTCTCAGCCTCGTACGCTGTGTGGCCATTGCAAACAGGTCAACACTTAGCTCTTGTAGCCATGAGGCATCATCCGATCTGCTTTTACCTTCTTGGGAGAGTCCAGAAAATTCACCATTGGTTTGGCTGCTCTCGGGCTGAGAAGTTGATGCACGATTGGCATCCCGAACGCATTGAGTAAAGAGTGGTGAATGTCTTGAGCTCGCTGGTCTTTCTGTTAAAGGCGCCGAGTTGGTTGGTCGTCCTTCGATGCTTTTGTATCCAGAAGACAATCGTCTTGAAGTTTGTAGAGGTAAAGGTGGTGCATGTCCAGGTCCTCGACGTGGATTCCTGTGTGAAAGAAAATGAATCATAAAGCACGCAGCACAGCAGCCACACACACAAAGAACAAACACTTTACGAGTTTTCATTACGACGCAGTAGCTGTGAAAGTGAGACCACCTCACGACGGACCGACATGTCTCCTGCAGTGCGGAATCGAGAGTGAATGCTTGTGCCAAGTCCACTTCAACTTCAACTATCTCACCAATCACAATCATTCTCCCTTTACAAGAACATCGATGGGTACAGCCTTAATGTGTCGTAATTCCAGAAGAGTGATAACGTCCAATTGAAGCATTCAGGACAAGTAATAAGGTTTAAGGTCCTTGTTATCCTAAGAAACGCATTTGGAGACCCCTCTTTATTTCTAAGGTCTCCCACTCTACGAAGAAATCACTACATCTGCATGTATCGGCTACCACCAGCTCCACCTGTGGGTCCGTACATCTCCGAAGAAGAATTTCCAGCAGCGTATCCCGTTCCAGCTCCAGCTCGATAGGACGAAGATGCCGCCTCTGCGTAGCTAGAAGGCACCGATTTTTCACCTCGGTACACTGCCGATGAATTTAAGTCATTGGTATTGCCAGAGACTGAAAGCCTGGTCGACGAGTTGGAGAAAGCACTGCAGGCTGCACCTCCTAGTGCAGTAGCACGACCACCAGCAGCAGCACGTAGACTGCGCACCCACTCCTGCTTCACCTCGCGGGACTTGGCGTGAAGCTGCAATGGATAGTACTTATCGTCATGGAAAGAGACGCTGAAAGCTTCCGGTACAGCATAATTGTCTTCGATGATCGCACCTGTAACATCCATGGGTGGATTGTCCGAGCGGCAACGCTCATAATCTTCTTTGGTGTCGTAGAAGCTCAGTTGCGGTCCTTGCAGGACAAAATACCGCTGTTGCCACTTAGCACGGGCTGACCCACCAGCACCAGGAGCCATGTGTTGCTTAATAAGATACCCGCATAGGACTTGAGCAAAAGCTGATGATGCAAATTCTGTGGCACGGTACTGACCCTGCTGTGCTGTATCCGCTAAGCGCTTCATAGTGGCGTTGTGATTCAATATGTGCTCCAGTTCATTGGTCTTAAACTCCAGCGTTGAGTGAAGTCCCGCGAGCTCGGCCGCACAACGTTGTTCAGCCTCCTTTACTCCTAGCTTGCATTTCTGCTGTTGCTGAGTAGAAAGCTCTTGCATCGCACCTGCTTGTCCTTGCGCCACTGCAACCTTTACACTCAAATCGTTCATCTTCTTTTCGAGTGCGCGAACCTCCGCCATATGCGCTGCATTGGTAATTTCCGTGCGCTGAATTGTCTGAGACAAAACATGTTGGCTGACGAACTCGCAGTACGCGGCATCAGCTGACGGGCCGACGGCACGGGCAACAAATTCTTTATGCACCCTCATCAGGTCGTCCTGCAAAAAAGTCTGCGTTTCACGGTAAAGCTCCATGGACGATTTCTGGTGTAATTGCTCAGAATGGGTCAGATAATCGATTCCTAGCTGACTTAAAACGCTCAACACTTGCCGGCAATATGACATTGATGCCGCAGCATTCTGCTGGCGATATAATTCGAATACGGCAGCTACCGCTACACGGAATTGAGCCATGTAGTCATCGCCTCCGCCAGCTGCAGCATCAGCGCCCATGTCTCCATCAACAATATCACGCAACTTCTTCTTGGCCAATTTCTTACACAAACGGTGTACATTTATAAGCCTCTCTTCAGGACAGGGCAGTCGAGTGCGTTCCACACCTTGTGCAGCAGCCTCAGATTCTGCATCGTCGTCCTTTTCCGTAATTTCAATCATCTCGTTTTCCGTATCCGTCGGATTTTTCGATTCGTTGATCAGATTCTGTATTTCTGACTCTCGTCGCAATATTACGGTTCGTAGGTTTCCATGTTTGTCGAACATGGCGTTGCTTCCCTGGTCATTGTCTACTACTTCAATTTCTCCATTTGGGCCACCTTTTTCGTCGCCAATCACTTCAAAACAAGCATCTTCTTCAAACTGTTCAGCTGACACATATTCGCGTACTCTCGCCTGCAGCTCCGCCTTGTAGCACTTGACAGCATCTTCAAGTGCATCATGACATTGCGCTTGCACGACTCGACTCCAGGCACTAGAGATCACCGGTGCCTTGCCACTATTCAGCGCCTCGACATAAGATCCCGCCAAGTTGACAAACATGGCTCCATTCAATGCCTTGCCGAACATGGTCTTGGGTTTTGCTTTGCCAAACAGCCTCTTGCAGAGACTTTCAAAGCTAGTTCGAAACTCGTGTCTCAGCTCCTCGTACGGTACTTGAGGCAGGTTCCGTAGCTTCTGTTCGTCATCTACAGGTCGTACTAACGTAACACAATCTCGATGTCTGAAAAAATCGCTCAAGAGCGCTCGGATCTGATCTTTCTCGACTGCATCATCACTGTATCCTCCCGTAGGCTGAAGAGCGTTTTCTAAATATTGTTTGGATGAAATCGGTTTACCATTGTCCAGTAACTGGAGTGTGAAATCACGTACGACCCACATAAAACTGGGGAAGAATTCATGTAGACGATCACCTCCATTATTTCCCGTTTCCTTGTTCGAAGAAGACGACGTTTGAATATGTTTTGATAAATTGATTACAAGAGAAAGGTCTTCAATAGCATTCCCATCAATAACTCCACGACTATTGTAGACAAAATTAGACGCCAATAGTAAAGCCAAGGCAAAAATTCGAGTATCATGTGTCTGTTCTCGATCGATACTACCAAGTCCTTCCGTGTCCAAGAACAAGACACTTGTGTCTTCATCCAATAGAATGGGTTCACCCCACATCCAAATACCTTTTGTACAGGCATTTACAGTACCACCTACAGCAAAACCCGTCTCTTTCTCCTCTTGATTTGCTGTCATTGATCCAGAAACGACCTGCAATTGTTGTACCAATAAATTCAATAGAAAACTTTTACCTGTACGATACAATCCTGCTACGGCTACGACTACGAGACGTGTCGTTACTTTCTCTAGTACAGCAACTGCATCAGGGTTTACGCAAAAGGTGCCGTCGTCATCCACTAGAACGAATGGCAATGGCTGTACCGTCGATATGGCCGCACTCATAGGAATACAACTTGGTGTATTTGAATTAAATTGTACCAAGTGGGCAAAAAGTGAACTCACGACGTGGTAATTTAAAAAAAAACGGAATGGGTGCAGTTTTTTGTGACCTGTTATTGTATGTATACCTGCTGTATACACAGTACAGATACCGGTATTTTTACCTTGACTGGACCGGAGCAAAAGTATAGAGTGATGGTGTATGGAGCATCCGCTCGTCAAGGCAAGCGCGGCGCTGTGGGAAAGGCTAAGCATGGACGTGGTACAACTGGTACAGGAACTCCTTTAAATCGACGTAAAAAGTCAAAGCTCGTGGTGACGTTTGATCCGGAGAAGCGCAAGTATGTCGAGACGTCTACACTGAATAATAATTATGTGCCATTAAATGTATTATTTGTATGAATGGTAGGGAATATTTAACGGGATTTCACAAGCGCAAGCAAGAACGACGTCGTTTTGGTTTGGATATGGAAGCGTATAAGGTTAAAAAACGTCAATTGGAGGCCAAGAAACAGCGACGAGAAGAACAAAAGGAAAAAATGGCGGCCTTGAATTTACTGGACGACGAGAGGAAAAATAAAGGGGGGGAAGAAGAAGAAGAAGAAGAAGAAGAAGAAGAAGAAGAAGAAGAAGAAGAAGAAGAAGAAGAAGAAGAAGAAGAAGAAGAAGAAGAAATGAGTGATTTTGATACTTTTAAGAACAAGGTCACGCCTGTTATAAGTAAAGACAAGGTCGTGACTAAGGTGATGACCTTTAACGACGACTTTACACAGGGAAAATTTGGTGACGTGGTGACAGTAACGACATCTGTGGGCGACCTCCAGAGTGACAGTGACGACAGTGACTTGGAAGTCTCTGAAAATGAGGAAATAGATGAAGATGTTGATGAGTTGACGCATTCTGCGTTCCGTCAGCTGAAGAAGAAAAAGGTTGACAAAGAGCAGCATTTGACGCTCTTTCAGCGGATACAACAGCAACGCAAGGGCAAGGCACTGCCGTCGAAACGCTCTAAACTCAAAGAAGCGCGTACGGCGCGAAAGGCCATGATGGGTAAGAAGGGGGACAGTGGTAACGCCGTTGTAGGAAAGAAGCGTGGCGCGGACGACGGTGACGGAGGAAGTTCTGTTGTTGTTGGTAAATTTAACAAGAAGTTCAAGACGAAGAGCAGTCAAGGCGGCGGAAACAAGCGTCAGAAAAAACGATAGCTGACCACTTTGTTCCATCGTAAGGATGTTGCATTTTCCAACGTCATCTTTATTCGTTCATACGCATTGGATTTTACTGATTCATTGACCTTCACTTACAATTGTCTTAGCTGATCACTTCAAATACGCACAAAATTATTTCCACACCTTGATAAGCGCGTCCCGACCACTAGAGACGAGCATGGGGCTTGGATTCTGGCTGCTTCCTAGCTCAACAAGCGTCAAATCCAGGATGCAGTCCGTGTGTGCCGGGGACGGTGGTACAAGTCCTCTCCGTTCCATGCTGATAGCGGACTCCACACCACCACCACCTGATGCTGCTGCATGGCCTGCAGTCGAGTAGATGGACGAGTCTTGACAAACCGTAATCAGCGGTGGGTTTAATTTGCTCCAGGCCATCTCGGGCTTCGTGATGTTGTTTGTGGTCGCTGATAGTGTCTCATCAAAACGCCGCGAAGCAGAGTCATGCATGCGCCACCAGTCGAGAGGAGGTGCCTGGTTATCGTAAAACGACTTGGCTTCCCCATTGCCGCAAATTGTATACGATTGTTTACCATTGCGAATATCCCAATAGCGCAATTGTCGGTCTTCGCCGCCCGTGATCAAAGCATCTCCAATTCCACGAAGGTGCAGTGACGGACACAACATTGCACGAACACTAGGCTCCTCGCTGAGGGATGAGGTAGAAATCTCATCGAAAGCCGTTGCAATGCCATAGATGCCCAGGAAGCTTCCCAACACACTTCGACTGCGATGTGGAATCGCCACGTGCAGAAGCGTTGGACACTTGCAAGCCTCAGCCTCAGATGCCTGTACCTCAAGCGTCCGAAACACTGCCCGACATGCACCAATACTAAGGTCGAACACAGCAACTTCTCCATCGCCTGCTGCCACAAATACCAGCGGTACGGACGTCTCATCTAGGGGCAACGTATTCGGCAGTCCCAAGCAGGGCTGAAGTCGATGAATGGCGCGGTGGGATGAATGGCGCCAGATACGGATAAGCACCAAAAAGCGCAGATCCCATAAACACAAAAAGCCTCTACTAGTGCCAACCGCTAACCAGCTCACGTCAAGTGAGTGTGTTATGCACGTCACGTATCCAAGCTCGGGAGAAATGCTGAGAGTCCAGGCGTCCTGCCGCATACGCAGATCCCACGCGTGGATTTTGCCATCGCGAGTGGCATATAGCAGTAGAGCGTCTGTGACGTTATTCAGGTAGTCAATTGCCATGACAGCACTATTGTTCGCACGTAGCTCCTTGAGGCCAGTGATTTGAACATTGCCACCCACAGAATTCACCTTGTCTACACGGAAGACGTGAACTGTGCCGTCACTAGAGGCGGAAGCAACGGAGTGACTGTTGGTAAGCACCTTCATATCAGTAATTACTCCGCCTTGTCCGTCATACGTGCAGCGCGATCCTTGATTCACGCTATGCTGCAATGACCGCACGGACCAAACTTTAACCGTTCCATCGTTTGAGGCGGATGCCAGAAAGCTGTAGTCTTGAGCAGCATTCACACGAGTTACAGCCCCCGAGTGCTCCGCCAGCTCCGCCACCAAAACGTTCTTGCGCGGGTGCCAGTTGCGGTACGACGAGCAAGGGTAGCCACCACCGCCGCTACTACCGTTTCCACTACTTAAGCTGCTTCCGGAGCCTGTACTACCGTTAGAACTCCCAAACGTACTGGGAACCACACCTCCGTTGATCGCTGCTGCAGCTGCCGCCGCAGCGTTAAATGACCCTACGCTAGGAGGATATGTGCCACTACCAACCTGATTCGGAGACGATGCGACATTTGAAACACTCATACCTCCTCTATCGCTTCCTGGGCCCCCATTACCTCCCGTGCTTTTGCTAATGCAAATTCCACCACTCATTAAGCAGTACGGACTTGAGGCATGACTGTAAATAGAGTATGGTGATCCATCAGACAGCCGCAGCGCACCCAGGTCAGGAGGCAACGGAGGAATACCCAATGCGTTCAACCGTGCCAGCAATTTACGAGGATTTCCAAGTGCGGGGTCCATCGCTGACTCCTTGAAAGCAAAATAGTGATGGTAGGTTGTGTGGGCCTTCTTATTCGTCCTTTGTCGAGGAGGTGATACAGGCGTTGCGTGAATTGAATGGTGGTGCGAGTCCAGCAAACTATTCATTCCGTCGCCGCCATACATATCACGCATGTTCATGTTGAGCATGCTCACCATAACTCCACCGCTGGTTGGTGCGAAGTGATTTGAGTCAATTTGGCCCAGTCCTGAATCGTCCATTGCCACTGATGTTGACCCAGGAGAAATTACAGATGAAGGACCTGTGACGGTGATAGGTGATGCTGAAACGTGCGTGCTTGGCTCAACAAGACTATACATCTTGCCTATGTGCGACAAGGAGAGGCTCTCTAAAGAAGGAGATCCTGTCATCGACACACCATTCGACATTGCTGGAATTACTGATCCTCCTCCGCGAGGAGACGGCGAGCTGTTGGGGGCATTAAAACGAGACCTTGTCACCAGAGCAGTCGACGCCGACGTCGATGAACTGCTGGCTGTTGCAGAAGAGGATGATGAAATTCCAAAATTGTTTGACGTTAGAGGTTGTGCTGTCGAGAGCGCGAACCGCATATCCGGCACGAATAGCACACGAAGATGTGAGCGCGAAAGCTTGCGAGCGAACGGGTTGCTGCTGGTGCCAGCAGCACTACCACCGACAGCCGCAGATGCACTATTCATCGCACCGTGTGGTGAACCATTTCTGCCGCTTTTCGAAGGCCTCTGCATTCGCGCGGCTTGCTCAGTCTTAGCCATTTCCAACTTGCTCCTCATCTGCATCGAAGCAATTGACACGTACTGCTGCATGAGCTTTAGCGACTGAATATCATTTTTGCGTTGATCGTAGATTGAAGACATGCCGTCCTCAACATTGTTCGAAATTGTTGCTGCTGTTACCGCTGCGGAAGATGCAACCGCTGCACCAGACGATTGCTGGCGGGACGTACCAATTCTATCCAGGGGGTCCGCGCTCAGTAGAGCATCTCTGTTTCTTCGAGACTTTAACACATCGCTGATTGGATCTTCCAAAGATTCGCGAGACGTTGTCGTCATAGCTGAGAGAGGCATCGATGGCACCATCTCGTCGTCACTATCATCAAATGCTTGTGAAACCGATCTTTCCATTTCAGTGATAACTTCAGTAAGACCCGAAGAGGATGACGACACTAGTAGTGCACGATCAAAAGTCTCGCGGGATACATGACGCCGACAACAGTCACGAAGTCGCTTTGTAACAGCCGAAACCTCTTCATCGGGTAAAAACACCATCGTTTTGCGCAAAAAGGGCCGAAGCAGTGGGCCCAAAAATACGTTAGCGTCTACACTGCGCAGTTTTAGCGCAATCTCACCCATCAGCTTCAAAACGGCATCACGAATCCACCAGCTAGGATGCAGCAATAACGAGCACGTCATACGTGCCTTCTCCACGAGCGTGCTAATTTTCTTCTGAAAAAGTCCTAGCTGACACAGTCCAGTGAGACACTCTACAGCCTTTGTGATAACAATCTCCTGCACATCGAACAGCGCCTGCTCTATGCACGGTAACATGTTCTGTTCAACAGCCTCGGGGCCCACAAACGAGCACACGCCAACAATGTAGTCGAAAAAGGCTCCGCGCAACTCCCAATCCGGATCATTCAAAAACGTGATAAGCTGTGGCAATACCACGTCTAAGGTACGCTCTTGCCCAAAAAACACACACAGCCTTGTAATATCCACAAGCAATGCGCGCTTGACAAGAGATGATGAGGCCTTTTGATCAGGTGTTGTGAGCTGAATCACAAAGCGTGAAATCATTTTGTGCAGCACACTCAGCTCCTTATCAAAACTACTGGATGCCATGTACAACATGCTTGGAGTAGATGAATCATAGCCCCGAGAAGACACCGCGGACATGGATGAAGTAGATGCCGATGACGTCAATATCTTTTGCTTCATAGCATGCGCGATTTCTAAAAAGCGACGACTTGTTTCCGCCAGCTGCGGCAAACACTCGGCGAATGTGATGCGCACCAGTTCGTCAGGGTCAGACTGGAAAGGGATCATAGCCGGTAGCACATACTGTGGGAACACGGACGCGTCCGCAAGTGGAAATGATGCCACCAATGATAGCAAAAAAGTAATCGTGCGGAGAGCCAGGGCGCGCACGGCGGCACTTGGGTCGTCAATAACCTCAAGAAGATACGGAATCAGACGCTGCAAGCGAGCCTCATCGCTTGTAAACTGACCCAACGAGCGAACCAAGTACAGTGAAGTGAGCTTCGACTCCGGTACTTGAACATGCCGTAGACTTGAGCAAATCAGCGACAATATAATGACGATGCCGTTACGATCATGCGGCCACGGTTCGCTGCAGGGATGTGCTGGTGGTTTCATTCGTCGCGTGCTGCTTGAGTGGGTTGGGGGCGTTGTTGTGTGTGACTTCAATAAAAAAGAACCAGTGATGTCCAAGCCGACTTCTTTTTTAGCTTCAGTATCATCCGTGCATGTTTCCTCATCCAAACAATCGGCCGATGGCTCCCGCGAGTAATCGAGCAATAACGATATCTCCTTTTTCTGTGTAAGCGCCTGAAATTGGTCATGAAGCTTTTCAATTTTCTTCTTTTGTAAACTTGCACTGAGACCGCGCATGTCATTCTCTTTTTCTTTCATCTTTTGCAACTTAGTGAGGACAGCGTTGCCCTGCTCGGCATTCTGCTTGTCGTGCTTTGTAGGAATTTTCTGATATAATTCCTCGAGTACACGCTGTGCTACATGCGTTTGCTGATCCCTTCCCGTTGCAGTTGCCAGCCGATCCGACCCGTAACCTTCTTTAAGACGCAGTTTGAAAAACTCTTCACCCTCAGGATCTTCAACGCCCGCTACTTCACGCACCAAACGCCCGTAATACTTGCACACCAGTCGGATACGTGCATCAGGCACTTTTCCACCGCGACTCAGCACTAGCACCAAGAATCTGAACAAGAAAATGTCAAAATATGTCGGAAACAATCCATTTAAGCCCGTGTACTTGGCCAAGTAGCCACTGGCCGATAGCCGTGCATTCGGGTCCAACTGCAACATATGCAGCAGCAGCTCTTCAAGACGTGGGTCGCCAACTTTCTTCAGCTGTTGGCGCAAAGCATCTGAATCTCCTGTGCGGTATTTCAGCAGCGACGGCAAGTCAAAAAGAGGTTTTCCACCCAAAAATAGTTCCGCAATAACACATCCAGCCGAGAAAATGTCCATAGACTCTAGTAAATTGCCTTCACGACGCGAACGCGAGTACGACGATGAGACGCTGCAATTAGCCGATGCAGAAGGATGCGTTTGCACAAAGTTACCCGACATGGTTCCACAGGTCATGCCCATTGCCAGAATCTGCTTGTCCACTTCTTCCACCGTCACTTCACTATCTGCCAGCTTGGATAGCATCATAGCTACATCGGGTGTCTTCATCGAGTTTACCCCACATGTTGAACCCGTTGCTGTTGCATTCACTGTCACTGATCCTTTGCCGTAAAATCTCTCGGGTGCTACACTACATCCTCGTCGTGTAGCGTCAATAGCACAAAAGTAATAATTGTAATCTGCAGGGTCATCTTCAGGGATATATGTAGGCTTAAAAGGTGCGAAATCTGTCAAAAAGACCCAATTCCAGCTTGTCACCATGACATTTTCCTGTTTAATATCTCCATGACAAATGCCTTTTGCATGACTTTGTTCAAGAGCTCTTAATATCTGAAAAGCAATCCATTTTTTCTCTATATTTGTCAAAAATGGTCTCGAGCAAATGCGATCGTACAAATTTGATGCAAAATATTGTCGGACCATAAAAGCGACATTGTACTTATTCGAGAGCTGGAAATCCGCATATGGAATCACATTCGGTTGTTGTTCAACCGAAAAAGCGAGTGCTAAACGACGGAGGGCGACTTCAGCACTCGTCAACGACTCTCGTTCGTCATATTTACGATAAATTTTCACAACTAAATGTCCTTCGTCACATTTGCAGGAAATACTTTTTAAAAATTTGCCATCTCCGATTAAACTACCAAACATCATATCCATTGAACGTGGCGTATAATCCATAAGAAAAGTACGATACTGTGATGCACTGTCCAGTACGCTCTGTGGCTGTGCACGTGGTGCAGCGTTACCCATATTACGAGAAGAGAGATGCAATAGAGACAAGTAACAGGCGTAGACTTCTTCCTACGACGACTTCTTCCTACGACGACTTCTTCGACTTAACTACAGTTTTTCCCAATTGGGCACATGGACCTGGCTGTATTTGGGTATGTTATACGTTAAGTACGAAATAAAATAGTCCTTTTGAGTCTCTCTTAACTGTTATATTCCAAATCAAAAGAGTTCCTCCGGTATTTGCAATAATAGGCATGGCAATGGTGTATTAGAAAAAAAAGTCGTCTCTGCATCTGTACGCGCTCTCTTCAACTTCCTTACGCTGCTGTATTTAGCGGCTTTCTCCTAACTGCTTCGGTCGGTTCTTGTCGCTCACTTGCACTGTGCCACAACGTATTGCTTAGCTGTAAAGGTCCTCCTCATCTGCGTCAGCGGCCTCGGAAACACCACCAACGGCGCCGGCACTGACGTTGCGGCCCGGGAACGAAAAGTTGGCCAGGGAAGTTCCACCCGCAGTCACATGCGAACGTGCCTGCTGAAGCGTCTGTGCAAACGTCGAGTACTGCGCCAAGTCGCGGTCGCTGACCGAGCGGCGCGCGTTGCGCACGGCCTCCTCGAAGTGGCGCGGCGTAATCTCTGGCACCGGGTCCTCCTCCTCAATATCGTCCATTTCGTCACCAGCCTCAGCACGGAGACGGTCGCGCTCCATGTCACGGGCAATACTCTCACGAATCGCCAACTTTGCAGCACGCTGGCAGATTTCTGTAAGATCGGCACCCGAGAACTTATCTGTCTGCTGCGCGAGAAAGTTTAGGTCCACCTCTTTCGACACAGGACTCTTGCGAAGCACAGAGCGCAGAATGCTCAGACGCGAATCGAAATCAGGCATGGGAATGAAAATAAGCTGATCCAAACGACCTGGGCGCATAAGAGCCGGGTCGATGATGTCGGGACGGTTCGTGGCACCAATGATAAACACATTCTTTTTAGCGCCCATTCCATCCATCTCCGTCAGAAGCTGGTTCATAACACGGTCACCAGCACCGCCAGCATCACCTGAGCTGCTGCCACGCTGCTGAGCAATGGAATCTAGCTCATCGAAGAACAAGACACACGGAGCGGCACCGCGGGCCTTGTCAAATACCTCACGGACATTGGCCTCGGACTCACCAAACCACATGGTCAAAAGTTCAGGACCCTTAATGGAAATGAAGTTGGCCTGGCACTCATTGGCCACAGCCTTCGCCAGAAGCGTCTTACCGCAACCAGGAGGGCCATAGAAAAGAACACCCTTGGACGGGCTGAGACCATACTTTTCGAACTTTTCCGGGTGCTCCACAGGGTATTGCACCAGCTCGAGAAGCTCGCGCTTGACACCTTCTAGACCACCAATGTCCTTCCACGTGACCGAAGGCACCTCCACCGTCGTCTCACGCAGCGAAGACGGGTTGGACACGCCCAGAGCGTACTTGAAGTGTGCCTGAGTAACTGACATCGCATCCAGGATCTCGGCATCAATCGTCTCATCCTCGATGTCGATCACATCCATCTTCTCACGAATGCACTGCAACGCAGCCTCCGTACATAGAGCTGCCATGTCAGCACCCACGAAACCCTGCGTGTCGCGGGCAATGAGCTCTGGATCGACATCGTCGTCCAGCTTCATATTACGCGTGTGGATACGGAAGATTTCTAGACGACCATTTTCATCCGGGACGCCAATGTCGATTTCACGGTCAAAACGACCAAAACGACGAAGAGCAGGGTCCATGCTGTTAGGTCGGTTCGTCGCACCGATCACTACCACACTGGCACGCTGCTTCAAGCCGTCCATTAATGTAAGCAGCTGCGACACGATACGACGCTCGACCTCACCATTGGTCTTTTCACGCTTTGGCGCAATTGAGTCAATCTCATCAATAAAGATAATAGCGGGAGCATTTTTCTCTGCTTCCTCAAAAGCTTTACGCAAGTTGCTTTCTGACTCACCAGCCATCTTTGACATGATTTCAGGACCATTAATTAAGAAGAAAAAGGCACCTGTCTCGTTTGCTACTGCTCGAGCAATCAAGGTCTTACCCGAACCAGGTGGACCATACAAAAGTACACCACGAGGAGGTTTCACACCCAATGTCTTAAACAACTGCGGGTGACGCAGTGGCAGCTCAATCATTTCACGGATCTGAGCCATTTGACGACGACATCCACCAATATCATCATACCCAACTTCATCCATTTTCTCCTCATCTTCACGTCGTACAGGTTCACCTTCACAATGAATGATTGTATCAGGTGCGACAATACAATATGGTGCAGGTTCAGTCTCTACAACTTTAAACTCGACCGGATGCATTGCTTGACGTACAAGAAACAAATCCCCTTTCTTCACTGGACGATAAGCTTCGACAAAGTACGGCTTCAGGTACACGTCAAATAAATTGCCAGTTACACCTTCAATCGTGTCATCAATTGGTAACACGTGAATCCGTTTCCCATAAGGCACATCACCACAGGTTTGAATGCTCACAACGTCGCCCAGTCGCACACGTAAATTTTTACGGACGACTTTATTCATACGGACGTTATGATCGTCTACTGTCTCGTCTTGAAGGACAACACAGACTGTATCATGACCTTTCTTGCCTTTAATAAGCACTGTATCACCACGAAAGAGCTCTAATTCTTCCATTTTGGCCATACTTAAAGCAATTACTGAATTATCATCATTTGAGGCTTCGTCTACTACAAGACGATTGGGTGAACGTTTCCGATCCATAATGCCAGCTTTAAAATCTTCCTTCTTATCACTCATTATTCCCAATACCTATAGAGAAATCAAGAAGAGAATGGAAACAACGCAAGAGAAAGAACGATAACTGGTGCTTGTGACTGTGCTTCCGTGGAAATGGCGATGAAAAATCCTCCCTCAAGATATCGAACGGAGTTTCGTCCAATCGAATCGATGAAGCAAGATATGTTTATGTTACAGCACACGGATTGGTCAAAATAGAGTATCTTTTGATCGAGAATGTTCCGGATGACGTGGACACTGCAACGTTGTGTGTATGACCTCAAATAGAAAAAACCTAGAATGCATGTCTCGTGGTATGACTGAATAAAAGTCCTACGACTTCAGATTCTTTAGTCCTGACGGCGCTGACGAGGTTTGTCACGTTTGTTTTTGTTGAGCAGCGCAATGAGAATACGCACAAAAATGGAAATCAAGTCTGCATATAGAAACATCATACATGTACAGTGTTAGCACATTGTAAAACATTACTACAATAACACCACAACTCTCTTTTCAGAAAAAAATTCTTCTTACCCATAAACAAATCAAGCGTGTGCTTGAGCACATCCTTGTCTCCCAAACTGGCCTTCTCAATAATCATCTGCGTGTCGTAGACAACGTAGCCACAGAAGAGAAAGAGCCCGCCATACTATCATAACCACCACCACAACAGTCAGATGCTTATGTCGTACCCTTCCTCAAATGCTGTGAAAAAAAAGTATTCATACCAGATTCAGATTGAACAGATATGACGAATGGGAAAAGATGGACAACACGCTTGTTAGCACCATTAATGACAATGCCGAGCTCAAGATGCCACCCAAATACAAGTATGATCGACGAGTAGCTACAAACATCAAGAATCAGAATCTCAGTTTCTCTCTCAGCTTTTCCTTACAAGCAGTAACAAAACTCTTGCTCCACTTACCAATTAAGGCACTTCCAGTGAAGCACATAAAGACCAGCGTCGTTATCAGTCTGCATATACGCACATTAGAATAATCTACTTAACTGTATACCAACTACTAAATCACTATCACTCGGTCGTACAAGGCTGAGACAAGAATGCTGGGGTCCACTCGGATCGCTACAGCGACGAGTGTAGACACACTGAGGCCCATGGCCGCCGAGATTGTCATAAGAATACAAAATCGCTTGTTGTAGTTCTGCTCGGGCTCCTTACAGAGCCAGATTGAGCCCAATATGGACACAAGTGACGAGCCCATAAGGGACCAACGTTCCGGACCATATAACACCATGCAGGCAGAGCTGAGCATTGCCGACAAGACACATGATGCTAACGTTGCATACACACGGACGAGATGTTGTTGTACGTCTTCTGTGATGCCGCTGGTCTTCATCATTGTCGCCATATTCCACTGCGAGGACGAACGAGTTCCAAACATATTCAATAGTAATTTCTAGTATAATTAGAACGCTTTGTGAAGAAAACGGGTAAGTTATACCGTGATACCGGTACAACTGGACTTTACTTCAGTGTATACTTATAAGAAGTCCACCACTCATTTAAATACGATACTTAATCAAGTACTTCTGAACATTGGACAATTCACCAACATGTCGGAGCTGTACGCGAATAAAGTGTGTCTATCGCCCATGGTCCGCGCAGTACGTTGCCTTTGTACAACTTGACTATATTGATACGATGTATTCCTGTGATAGCAACGCAATTGTAATGAATACTAAATGTTACGTTTACCGTAGGGGACTCTGCCATTGCGTCTCGTGTCATTGCGTTACGGTGCTGATCTCGTATACGGCGAAGAAATTGTTGATAAGCGCATTATTTCTGCTGTGCGTGTACCTAATGGTACAACTCAATGTGGTTTACTTTCGTAACGCGTAACTCTTTTTGCATTAAGAGTTATTGATGGAGGAATCTCGACTGAAGTCGCACTGTTATGTGCGCTGTATGTCAATGACCTTGCAGAGACTCTTAATTCTGTGGACTTTATTAGTCGAAATGGTGACTCGGTCGTGTTTCGGACGTGTCCAGAAGAGACTGGAAAGGTCATTTTTCAAATTGGAACAGCAGATGCAGTGCTGGCACTCAAGGCGGCGGAGGCCGTGTGCGTCGTTAATGGAGTTTGTAACTCGATAAAAGTTGTGGTCTGATAGCTGTTTTTTTGCGACGGAATCTTGCGTTTGTAGTGCACGCGACGTTGCGGCTGTGGATATCAACATGGGCTGCCCCAAGCACTTCTCCGTACAGGGTGGAATGGGTGCAGCCTTGTTGCGAAAACCAGAAATTGCTTGCGATGTAAGATTTTGTATCTTGTTAGTCGTGCTTTTGTACTGTCAACTAAAGGAACTTCTATCGATGGCTGTGAAGATCATTAAAACGTTGCGCCGGAATTTGACGATTCCTGTGTCCTGCAAAATTCGTCTGCTTCCAAATATTCAAGACACGGTACAAGCTTTTTTCTTTCCTGATGGCTAATCATGTCAGGAATTTTATTATCTTTTGGTTGAATAGATCGATACTGCAAAGCGCCTGGAAGATGCTGGGGCCCACGCAGTTGGTGTACACATGCGGCAGATCGACGAGCGTCCTCGCGACAAGGCGAGTTGGGAAAAGCTAGCGCCGATTGTATCGGCGCTGTCAGTTCCTGTACTCGCGAACGGAGACGTTTTCATGCATGAGGATATCGACAAGTTGCGGGAGATTTCGGGTGTATCTTCTTTTCTCATTGCTCGCGGTGCCCTTACCAATCCATCCATTTTCCGAAAGGAAGGTCGCTTGCCTGTGGACCAAGTGGTGCGCGACTATCTGCTAGCTGCAGCGGAGGTTGACAACGTGTTTCAAAACACCAAGTACAATGTTATGCGTATGATTCCGAGCTGTCTAGAGGATGCGTACGCGCGTGGCAATCATTATGGATATGCAAAAGACTCTCAAGTCGTTACTGTTCCTGAGCTAGCAGCAACAAAGAGTGGTTTGCAGATGTATTCGTTGTGGGGTCTGCACAACAACTATAACCAGTATCAAGACCAATTTCGGGCTAAGGCTGTAGCGCTGAAAAAGCATTCATATCCTGACGAACAGACTTTTGAGACACTGGTAGCAGTCCCTGGAGCGCATGCTTTGTACGCTGAAGCACTTCAGGCAGAGGGTAGGACGCCAAAAGCGTACAACAATTGCATGGAGAAGCCAGAGCTTTTCTGCGAGGCGTGCAAGATTCAATTACTAAGCGAGCAGGATGTCAAGCTGCATTACAAAGGCCGGAAACACAAGAACGTGTTGCGTCGACAGACCTCTGCCACTATCTCCAAGTTCGTGGCAAAAGCGCAACTGGAGCAACAACCTACAGCAAATGACACTGCCAACAATGCAGGTAGCAGACTTATCGAGAATGGCAAAAGTGCATCTGATCATCGAAAGTACGACGGAGAGGATGAGCGGGATACAAAACGCTTAAAAGCGTGAGTGTGAGACTGTAGAACATCGATTGACTTGGATAAGCGGCTACAATTCGAGACACAAACGTTGGATCGCCGGCAGAGCCTTACAATTCTCTTGTCTGATTGTTACGCAGTGGGATTGTTACTTTGGCAACTTATTTTGGTTTCCATACATACGACCAGTTTTCGCCAAAACAATAATGTAAAATGAACATGAACGCCGTTTCTGAGGTCATCACCTGGTCTTTTTACGAGAGTTCTTTGCACTCCTGCCACTTCTTCAATGACCGCCTTGCATTGTAATCCCGTCTGTAGCAGCGAGAAAAATGAACTGCGCATTTTAAGTGCCATTTCCGCGATCAAAAGAACGGCAAACGAACTCCTACAGAAATGGAACTATCCTCGCAAGAGGTTACCTGATACCCATGATAGAAATGACGCCACGGCAAGCACCGCCTCCCAAGATCACGTCTGTCAAATACAGCGAACAGCTACAACCCGGAACGGTACAATTATGGCCGAGATAGCCTTCACCCTTTGAGCGAGTCCGGGACCTTAACGGGTAAAAATGAATTGAATGGACCAAGTGTCAAGGACATGGACATCGCTAGCGACGCTGAATACGCGCATGCAAGTAATGCCGCCGCCACGTACGAATGGGCACGTCCTGCAATTGAGGATAATGAGACTCCGACAAATTATGGTAATTAGAAATCTAACAATTGCAAAGAGGCAACGAGTCCAAATTTTCTGCTACTTATTTACATACCTGTTAACGCGTCATATGGCCGCTTTCCATGCATGGAAAACATATCGAAGGGATAGGATCAACATGTGCTAAGGTGTAAGAGTGAGGTACAATCCCAACCATCAAGCAAATGACGTGATACAAGTAGACGTGCAAGAAGAGGTGACCCGATTATGTTGTGCTTGCGACACAATGCAGAGATTCGCGAGGCGACGGACTGACTCAATCAAGCTTTGCTTCGCACTCCTACCGATAAAGGCCCCGTTTCCATAGCGATGACCAGCTTCTTTTGATTTTCTTTTGGCTGGCTGGAAAACTCGATCGAAACGGCCACTTCGGCAACTGACCTTGACGCAGCCAAATTCATTACGGTCCCACGCCTTGCACTCCATTCCGCCGCGACGCATAGAAATTCATATGAGCGACCATGTTCTCGAACGTCTTATAATGATTGCTAATCGCATCGGTGTTTTCATTTGTCGCTCGCTCCCTTCCTTGCAAGTACTCGGAAAAGATGCGTAATGTTGAGTGAGCCACACGCCTTCGATGATCATTGTGACGGGATAAGTCCGTTACATAATATTGACACTTATGTGAAGTGTCAATAACAATGTTAATATAACTAATATTGTTTGATAATATTATATTTTCTTATAATATTGTCCTCGCATTTCCTTATAATTGGAGATGCCCTCTAATTGGTTGATATAGGCCATTGTATCAACCAAGGCGCTGACCAATGACTGATGGACGCGCGCAATGAATGGAGGGCACGAAGGTAGCACATATTTGTACTTTAATATAGTTAAGACAAGATTATTGCTATTTCAGTTCTATTTGATAGTGTAACGGGCTACAAGTTACATGGCTCGTTAAGTATCAAATACTTAACGGGCAGGCCTAAATGGGTACGAGATACTTTAGGCCTGCCACTTGGGTGAGGAACATCAATGTGACCCACCCTCGTGAATGTGATATCCATGGATAGATTCACATTCAACAGGGACAACTTCCAGTTGGGACTAGGCGTCATGGTGACGTCACAGACGGACGTCACCAGCGAGCTTCAATATAATTTAGGCTCGCACGTAAGGATACGTTTCTAAAGAAACGCGTATCCAATCTTTGCATAATTAGCCAATCAGTAGTTAAACTTATATTTAGTTAAAATCTATTAAATATAAGTCAGTTATGAATCTACTAAACATCACACACTGCGCACGAGAAGCTGTATAAGCTTCTGCGTGTCGTAAGTGTAGCTCTTGTCTTAGCCATTCGTTGCGCGGTTCGCTTCAAAGCGACCGGCAACGGTTGGTACAGCGCTTCTTAGCGCCGACCAACACCACCACTACCGCACGCGGAGGTAAGACGGTATAACCGCTTCCTCGCGCTGCTAAAGGTGTGACCGCGTAGTACGTGGCAGCTTCTTTACGAAGTCTTCGTCTTAAGATAGTCTAACTATATCAAATACAGCTCTCTTTTTCCCTACTTTTTTAAGAGTGTTGTTTCAAAGTAAGCTTCCTCAGCCTTTTTGTGTAAGATAGGTTTTGAGGCACCTGTTTTCACTGTAATCAGTGAAGGTAGACTATACTGTTATCAGTATAGTCGGAGGGTGCCCCATTACAGACTTCCGTCTGTAACGTCACCATGACGCCTAGATCCAACTGGGCGTCATCCCCGATAAATGTGAATCCATCCATGAATATCGTATTCACGAGGCTGGGTCACATTGATGTGCCTCACCCAAGTGGAAGTCTAAGGTACCTCGTACCCTATTAGACCTGCCCGTTAAGTATCATATACTTAACGAACTCGGGTAACTATTCGCCCGTTACAAGTTAACAATGAAAACTTTACTGATGAGAAGCAATACGAAGTAACAGTGTAAAAGGCAATTAGAATGCACAGCTCCACTAATTGCAGAAGTCGGATAAAATATACTTATAAAAGGGCTTGATGAGGTAGACAATATAAGAATAAATTCGCTTTTTTACTTACGACCGAGTTCACAACGCTTCCAACATGGGCATCGGTGAAAGTGCCATTGGGACAATGTTTTTTACAGTAGGAAAGTCACGGATGTTGCCACGATGAGTATGAAATTACAAATCTTATGACAAGTCGAGGAAGCGAATTGTCACGTATCATGAATTGTGTCCAAATACGCCTATGATCTATATCAATTCCTGTTGGGATGGTGGAGTACCAAACGCACTATATTGGCCAGCAGCAAAAAGAATAATTTCAAGAGTATCACGTCGATGCAGTCTTCTTCGCACACAAAACGAAAGTAGGATGTGCTTTTGCATGTGCAACGAGCCATTCGAGCCTTCGTGAGAAAAACATACTAAATGATACGTAATAGCGTAAACGACAATGAACAAAGTAAATATGGTAATGGTAATCTGTTCGCTAACGATCTCAATGAATCCATCTAGATGAAGTAGGCCAAACAAATAACACTTAAGTAGAAGAACATGGCCGCTATTTAATGGCCGAAATTTGACGCATTTTTCATCTTAGTAACTTGCGCAGATTAGAGTTCACAGTCAGTCAGGTCGCCTATCACAGGATTGTTCCGGACGAGTTGATGAGACTAATATGTAAAGGCTTTTTGGTCCTTGCGGTGATCTTGAACCACCTTTGGACATTGCGTTGGTCGTACTACTCGTTGGCCATGTCCAAGACAACAGCTTCTTCTGTTAATGAGTTTGTGGAACTCTATTTGAAGACTTGGAGAAGGCGTTATGAAGCTCGACGAATCCACCAGCTTTTGTGTTGATACTGGTATGGAAGCGACAAAGACGTTATGGAGTTTGTTCAAGCATTGATACGAGCAATATGATAAACACGCTTTGAATCACGGCAGCAATAACACCAGCTCATACTTTAATGTCATGCAGCAACTAAGTGAGCACAGATAACTTACTGTTTGGAATTGGATTACTTATAAAGTCGGCAGGTATTTGTATGTTCCTCGTCTGGAAAACGCTGCTCAATCAATTACCTTTTACGGGTCAAAGCACCTTTGTAGAAAGTAAACGTGGTGAATGAAAATCAAGCTCTAGCAAATCAATGTGGACCTCGCCACCAACTGCAAAAGAGTGAGTATAATTGATTCAGCTGAAAGACTCGCTCATGTCGTCCAGTCGACACTAAATCTTAAGATGTACGAAGTCCGCCGGTTTATACCACCACAAGAGAGCGAGATGCCTCAAACCCACCTCGTTGGACTTACGGCACAAGACAACGTCGAGCATAAACTCACTGAAATTATTTACGTGCACACTGTCGCTAACTTTTTCAAATCGTTTGTTGCCGTGTGCGACATCGTATTGTCGATGGCATCACTACGACAAGCCTCGTGGTGCTGAGGCTTTCCATTGCTCTAGCAAGGACAGATTGACGTAGGTCTTCTGCTTGCTCCTCCGTCCTCCTCTCATTCACAGAGATCCGTTCGTGAGCCGGTTCACTAAACCGAATGTGGTGCATTGTCCAACCGCTAAATGATGGTGTCGCCACGTGCTTCCAAAGTGCCTGGTAATGTATGTTTCGGACATCGAATCTGCCATTCGACCGGCTACATTTTCAGCTATAAAGCTCGACTCAACATCTCTCGCTCAACTTGACCCATTACCTCTGTCACCAAGCCTTGTCTATGATGTCCGGTCGAAGTCCGCCATTCATTCGTCGTAATGTTGGCGGCAAGTCAGTAGCAGCCGGCGACCCGATTGCTAGTTAATGTCGACGACATGCTGGCCTCGACGACTGATCCGAAGGCAACTGCGGACGCTATTAACTTTGGGAGCGAGCTGCAGCATGCCATCGATCAATAGTTTTCGTGGCAAAATAAACACCCGTCTCAAGTAATTCGTAGAGTGAGATTTGACCATCGCCACTCGTCGATGGGCTGAAAGAGTTTCTTATGTTGTAGTGACCCAGTTTCTGATTTACCGTTCATACTGCTGCAGCTCCGTCGTCCAGATGTTCCTTTTAGCTGTCAACGCCCCATGGACCAGGAGACATATGATTGAGGTCATAGGTCTCCCGGACGCTGAAATATGTCGAACGTCTTTTCAAAGGCCAGCATCTTCAGTTTTGAATCCTGTAAGAGAACCATAAAACAATGGGGACGATGTTAAGCTCCTCTCGATTTGCCGTCGCTCCCTTCCCATCATCTTACGATGTAAGTACTTGGACAAAAAAGCGCATTCCACGGCGTGCCACGGCTGTGTGCTGTCGCCCTCATTCTCCTTCTTGTCGAACGAACCACAGAGGGGCTATCATTGACGCCGATCATCGTGGCCTGCACCGAAATCTTAAGCGAGAATGAACCACCAATTTCCACTTCAGGAAACGGTGTTCCCGCCGCTACAATTGTCAGATGCGAGCAAGGGCATCTTTGTCAACACGGCGTTGATGCAACTTACGAGGGCGTTGCGAGACTACGACAAGTATCAAAGATGGCAGGCTTCTCGACCGCCAAGTCTTCGGTATCAATTGCATCCGGCAATGTGGAAACCCATCAAGACATGCGAGCAACTTACAGTCTATCGTCGAGTACCAGCGGACGATGCAGTAGTCACAGCACCAGCAAGAGGATCAAGAAGACGAGCACGTAGTCGAACACTCGAAGCCATGAGATTAGCTACATGTTCCGACTCTGGGATGAAAAAGTCCGTTACCGATTCTTCGTGGCCACTTCCAGCTCGAGGATCAGCACACACAGCAAACAGTGAGTGGACGATGCCCACGCTTCTCCAAGTAGGGACGATCGAGGGGACGTTGGACGACGTCATGTACGGCTCGTCTTCATACGACCCCATTAGTACGTTAATCGAGTCGTCCTACACGGGTAAAGAGGTCGTAGACGCAGACATATTGTACGAATTCCAGGGTCCTAGTCCTGATGAACCGTTTCGGTTTCTCGGATTAAAATGGGTCGTCAAATCCACGTCGTCTACCGTCAAGGCCTTCGAGTGGCCACGAGACTTGACGTTTCTTGCAGCGACAGGTGTGCTGCATCGGCAAAGTGGTGAACGTGTGGGGTATCATTTGATGCACTCCGTTGACCTCGGCAGAAATTACGGTCCTCTCGAAGGAAAGCGAATTGTGCGTGGTCGAGTGTCGTCGTGTTATCTGTATCGCCAGACTTCGACAAATTCTGTCGACGTGTACATGAAAACGAATTTTGAACCAAATGGCTCCGTTCACGAAAGTGTGGCGCTGATGTCTGCAGCCGACAGGCTGACGTACTGCTCAAGGTCTTTGCTTTGTGCACAAAACAAAAAATTGTCGTGGCTTTTGGCTCATCCAAAGCCTGATGAGACAAAGGCGGGATCGGCACGGCCGAGCCCAAATCGCGTCAAAAAGCGCAACGATTGTGGAGTATGTACGAGGCCGATTGGCACTTTTTCACGAGGACACAGCTGTCGTGTTTGCAGTGCTCGCACATGCTCCGCTTGCTGCGTGAAGAAAAAGTTGATTTTTCCAGGTCAAAAACACAAGACACTTGAGCAGCGCTCCATTGTCGTCTGTACACACTGCCTGACTCATGCGCGGAAGCTGGCCTCGGTGGAAATTGCAAAGCAGGAAGTTGCAGAGCGCAAACATTTAAATCGGCGACGTGGCACTCTTCGAGGTTCTGAGGCATCTACACGCAACAATCGTTGTCGTAGCAACAGCCACTTTGACATTAACAAGCTCCGACGTGGAATCGGAAGCAGACGGAGAGCAGAAGATGAGAAATTCGTTCTCACTGACCCTTGCATCACTTCGACGCTAGACCAAACAAACTCTCAGACAAAGCTAGCCTGGAATTATTACTCGGAGACGGAAGATAACGACGATGATGATGATGCAATGGTCAGTTTGAACGAATTTCAGCTACTATTAGACAGTCAGTCTTGCACGCCGAATACGAGGACACGAAGCGACAGTAAGAGAGTCATTGCCAAATCAACGAACGACGCACCGATTCCTATTGCGGCTCAGCAAGATATTTGGGATGTCGACTCCGAAGCGCAAGGCGAATACGACTATGGCGGCTTTGTTATGAGCTCGCAGACGATGTCGCTGCATTCAGAGGTGCCGATCCTAGGCACTTCGCTGCCTGAAGCTGTGGTGCAATACGCGTGGGGAGAGGCAGTGCTGTCTCCGGTAAACCAAAAGACATTAGAGTCTTTAGCGGCGTTACCGTCACCGTCGTCGTCACCACTGCCGTCGATGACGTTATTGCCGAAAAATACAGAGGTGACGTGGCCATCAGCTAAAGGTGATCAAGCCACAATGCGGACGCTGCCTGTGCCAAAAGCTACAATTCCTCGTATCCACGCAGGAGCGTCAACCCAGGAAGTCTTGGCGCAGTTCGAAGAGCTTTGCAATGCTGCCGAAAACGTGTACCAGGCGGCGAGGAAGCACACAACAGTGCAACCGGCCACTACTAGATTTGACATGAGTGCTGTCGATTAGCCAATGACTACGACAAGGACGATTAAGCTTATGGGAAGCAGTCAAGTGCCTATAACTTCAACATCGTTATTATATAGCCTATAACCCATTATGTAGCCATGTTTACGATAACTCAATTGCTTTGTCATCTAAACCTAAAAAAAAGAATTGTGCGTTTTCGTCTTTACAGGAAATTTCTTCACACACACGCACTGCTTTTCTTTCTTTTCGTGTCCAAAAGAATGTGCCGTTTCCTTACACTTGGTAGGCTTGAAGCGTGGCGGGTGCACCGAAATGAACTTGGTCGCACTTGAGCTGAACAGCCATCTGGCGGATGGCACTGGCACCGCGCAAACAACCCGTGGTGCGATCATCTTTGGCAGAGCCAGAGATATCCAGACGTTCACGGATCAGCATACGCGCACGAGATACGCGATACGCCACTCCCAGTAAACAAAGCACGAAAAGCAAGAGGGATATGGCAAAAGGCAATAAATAGCCCTTTATAAGGTACACCACCGTCAGCAGGAAGAGCAACAGACGACTGGTATACGCAATCAGATCAAGGAATACCCCTGATCCATATGAATTAAGACCTAGCCGCGTCTCCAGCTGCGCCAATGGGATACATGGACAGCAGCAAACCCACCAGTAATAGGCCGTACGCATATCCGCATCATGCAAATTTACAGTCCACATGTTCATGCGGAGTCCATTGGGATCAAAGTCCGTAGGCGACGTCAGTGCCTTGTTATCAGGAGTTAAAACCGTCACGTATTCGCCATTTTCACCTACAAAACCAGGCTCAGATGGTAGAGGAAGTTGGGCCTGTTTTTTGTCACTCATTGCTCGCTGCCTTGTCGCTTTAGGTGTAAAACTGATTCTGCGTGTGCTTTGTTTGTGGATGAGGAAATGAAAGAATCTGGATGTGACGGATTCACTTTCTGAAATGAGGGACATCTAAAATTGGGATGTAGAATATACTTGTGCAAGTCGATCGATCGATTGTGCAAGATAGATATGTTGTTGTAAAAAATAGACCTTTGATATAGAATGAGTGCCACGGAAAAAGATCCACAACCCATCTTCAATGACGTGGATGGCAGGACTTGCAGCTGCCCAGTGCCATGCCCGACACGACGATCGCACGTTGCTCACAGCTAGATTCAAAGAGGCTAATGGTTGATACAGCTGCTATAAATAGAAACTGCAGTAGATATTTGACCATCACGTTACGTGCTTTTTTTGTTTGATGGACAAGCATTAATATATCTGTTCTTACATAATATCATTTGTTAAAGGAGCAATTGTGGTTAAAATCATCAGAAATATTTTTGTAACTTATTATTTTACAAAGGGACATTAAAGACAGACGACTGTGCGTCTCAAGTTTTAACGGCTGGCAAGAGATTCAACATCGTCCCATGAGCACGCTCACTTAGTCGGCCCAGTCCCAGCGCCTGACGCAGCTTCGCAAATTGCTGACAAATGATTTCATCATTTTAATTTCCTGTTGCTACGATGGCGTCAGTGCCATTCGGAGTGACGTTTATGATGGGCTTTGATGTGTCACCAATTTCACGGCCTGCCGGATACACAGGTATACATACATACACACACACGTCTCACATGCTGATGGGATGTATACTGCCTCTTTTTTGTGTGGTTATATTTAGCTTTTGTCTTTCGGCGAAATAATTTGTAGTGCCGGAAATATTTGCGAACTGCTACGGAACATTCCGTGCATTGGCGATGAAGACAGTGGGTACGGTAATGCCATGAATGAAAAGAGGACCGTTGCAGCGTAGTGTTCGGGCGATCATGGCCGGTATCATATTGGGAGACCAAGTGTGGGCCAAAGCGATGTGGACATACTGATTATGCTGATGTCGCGAAGTTGAGTAAGTCAAGGTCAAGAAAAGATAGTGCGAGCTTAAGTACCGGTACAATTAGCCTGGGCCTGGCAAGGCATGGTCTTTCCACGGAGCGACGGGACTGGACAGCAGGAGTGTCTCCGCGCCAAGAAAGAGGACGACAGTTTTAAGGATCGCAGGACCTCTGGAAATACTATTCAGCAGCTGATTGAACCTTTGCTGTCATCGACATTACCGGACCCTGATGGTGGGCAGCAGCAGTACACAACGGAGCTTGAAAGCCTGGCATCAAAGACGATCAGCTGGACCGACAACGAAGGAATGGGTGGTGGAGCTCTCTCGGCCACTTCGTCACTCACGCCGGGCAATGACACTATAGGAAGAAGCATTCAGGTCCGCGTACTCTTAAGCCAACAATTCATGGAGTGTGGACTAGCAGGGGAAAGATTCAAATCCACGGAAGTATGACAAGATTTGGTTCTGCACTATAGCGAAACTGTAACTGCATCGGATTGGAGATCGTACGTACTCCTTCTTTATTACGACGGTAGGCGCAACCACGCACCAACAAGCCAAGCTGCGACGTTGGGGGTAGCGATTTTGCTGATCGCACCGAGCGTAGCTGTGGGTGAAGGGCTTTAAGAACGAAAAGACATACGTCTACGCCACTCCCCGTAGCGTGGTCGACACTTTCGCGAATAAACGCGCATTTTTGATAAACGGGCCGCTCGAGCAGACATAGACAACGGCACACGTCTGCTGGTATGCTGCATTATACAATCGAGCACCGGCGTTGCTAACCAGGCTTGATAATTAGACGTGTCATAATTCTTATGATTATCGAAGATATGTCTGTGAGGAATTTCCTCGATCTTCTGCCATCACTACGCCGAATACCTACTCATTGCTCAATCTTGACGGGCTTCTCGAGGGAGGCGAGCTCGTTACATAATATTAACACTTATACAGTATGAAGTGTCAGTAAAATATTATCAGAACTAATATACTCGACATTATTATCTTTTCTTATAATATTTTCCTGATATAATGGCCTATATCAACCACTGCGTTGATTAGTGACAGATGGACGCGCGCAATAAAAATGGTGAACACGAAGGCAACATACATATTTGTAGTTTAATATAGTTAAAACAGGGTTATAACCGATTCAGCATATTATCTAGTTTACTATATTAAATACAGTTTGCATATTCTTCACAACTAAGCGTTTGTTTAGTTGCTTAGCATCCTCTGACTCTTTGTGTAAGCGGGACACCTTCTTACAGTAGGTAGACTATACTGTTATCTGTATAATTGGAGGGTGCCCCGTTACACCTGGTAGCACTTCGTGGTCCGTTCACGACCATCGATCCTATTGCTATGGAACCAGCGAATGAGGAACGGCATAACGCAACGCGTGATGGATTTGGCCTTTTGAGTGATATCGAATGGCAGGCGGTATAGCTATTGCTGAAACTCTCGGCGAAGCCGCCGTCGGTGCCATGCTGCTCTTTCAAAGTAAAGACAAGTGTGGTGAAGTAAGCTCTTATAACTGTGTGACGAGACCCCAAACCACTTCCTATACGTACTGTCGACTTTCAAAGGAGGTTCCCCGATGCCTCGTATGGACCTTCTCTCACATCTGCAGTCTTAGAAAAACTTGGGTGCGGATGTAGATGTCTGCCTTGAAAGGGGTATTTTTGGGGGGTCTCGAGTGAGTATGCTTCACTCGGTGGGCCAGTAGGTGGCCACTCGATCGATCTAGTCGATAGTGCACTTAGTCGATAGTGTGCTAAATCTTCAAGGAACTTGTCACTAGCCTTTCCTTGGTAGTCGCAGGGGTGTTAATCTCCTGGACTTTACTTTGCTCCCAAACCGTCAGGTGAGGGAGGCCGCTTCCGATTGCGGATCTTTGGAGGGTGCTACTCGAGATGAATCCACAGGCCAAATAAATTCTGGTGTTCTTTTTGCACTTGATTCTAGCCGCACTAAACGGGGACGAAATGTATCCCTTCCCCGGAACAGATGGGCTGATCGAAACAAGTTCCTTTAAGCGTGACGAAGTCGTGCCACGTAGTTTGCAAATTAATTGATATTTAATTATGGGGCCTATCTTTTAACGCCTCTACTTTATTCTTGCCTATAGCCTTGATTTATTGTGCTTAATGGCCAGGAGTAGTTCGATCTCGAGGGATCGATATCTACCGATGAAGGACCCGGCGCACGGTGCTAGTCTCCATGGCTATGCATGTGTGCTTGAATCCGAGCTTGACTAGCCGCCCGTAGGTTCTAGCTCAGTTGTGTTCTTGCTCGCTGATAATGGCTCTGAGTGCGGCACCTCCATCTTCGTGACCCTGACTCTCGGCGTCGACTATTCACTACCGGTAACGTAGCTTCAAGGGTGTATTTAGCATCCCAACCATAGGTTAAATAGAATGGTGTCTCCCCCCACCGCACTCTGTCTTACGTAGGGTTCATCGCGAACGTCAATCGTACCGCATTTTCGTCCCAAAAACGCTATCCTATGTCGGAGACATACATCTTGATCGATCTAGTCAGGGTCTGGTCCATCTAGTACCGTTTGCCTGAGGTCGGTAGGCCATGGTCACTTGCTGACATTGCCGTACCATGCGACTAGACACCCGAAAGAGAATTCCGACATAAATTCCGGTTCTAGAACGTGACGGATCGCCTCACTGGCCCCAAAACGGCAAAAACACGCTCCAGATATCCCTCGGCTACCGTCTGGGCCGTTCGTGAAGCACTATCACATATTTGGTAAACTGATCGACCTAGATCAAAGCTCCGTACTTTCTTTGTGGACCTAGGAAGAGAGGGAATGTATTCCATTGCTATGATTAAAAGGGGTGCGTCGCTTTGACATTCCCAGTAGTCTTCCCTTGTAAGGTAGGTCTATCCTTAACGGTCTCACAATCCATGCAAAGACCCACATAGCTCTAAACACTCCGAAATGGACCTATCCAATGATAATACCGCCGAGTACGATGGTAGGTACGTCCAATTCCTTGGTATGATTATGATGAAGAATTTTAGTTTGAAGACTTTCAGGTGTTACCAATCTGGCTGTCACATCTCTGTCGTCTCCCTCAATTCTCTGGCTGGGGCAATAAACTATTAGCCCTTCTTCACTTATCTCGTAGTCTTCGGACATCTTACTGCATGCCCAAGCAGATTCTACAGACAGGTCACCCCAGTCTTCCTTCAAATATGCCTTTCAACTGTGTACCCAGCTCTCTTCTTCTTGCGCTTCTCGAATTCGGTTCACCCAAGGTCGTTATATTACGTCTTATTGCATAAAATCTTCTAAAATCTAATAGGAGACCGTGTAGAGTCAACGTGGATAACTTGACAAATGATATCCGGTCTTTAGGCACTCGCACCTCTGGTAATCGATTAATCTCTTCTATACCTGGCCACTCGATCTTCGGAATCGACTTATCCTTTTCTAAATTGGAATCTGTACTGTATAGCTGGTCCGCGCTCTAATTTTGTAAGATCGTTTCATATGTAATTATCCTTGGTAGGGACACGACTAGAGCTTACTTAAAGATTTTTCCCGTAATGGGAATAATCTTGAGGCCTTACACTCAATCTCTCCACGCATCTGCTGTACGACATAATTGGCATCTCCACAGATGATCAGTCGTCGTTGCTCTAAAGGCTTCAACAGGTCAAAACCCAGTAACATGCCCTCATATTCAGCCTCATTCACTGAAGACGTAGCGAGATACTTTAAGGAAGCCTCCGCTGTATCCCATGTAGGAAGTCTACATAAAAAAGCGCTACATCCCCCCACTTCCTTGTAACGCACGAGCGGACCAATCAAACTAATCACATACAATTTTTTTCGGATGTCGTTGTGGGTGTAGGTAGATCGATCGTTCGCCTTGCCTGCTTCTTAGGAGCAACTAAAGACAAAATCGAGCTCACAGGTAAGTGGCCACCAACGTT